CTCCAACAGCGAACTACCACAGAAAGACTACAACTTACAACTACTACACAATCTACACCTGACTTATAAACAATATATCGTTCTGCTTCTGTAATGTGTACGAAAACAGAAATGTGACACTTAAGATTGCCTCAGGTCATGATCTTCATGATTAAGCTCCACCTGTCCTAGCAGACTACAAGAATGCCAACGAATGTTTTAATCAATTATCATTAATTATTAGATCATGATAATCAATATTTTGATTTGCTGACATTGATATTCTGTCCAACCCCTATTTACAAACTGTGCCTACAGAGTCACACATTCACTGATGCCACTGTGATGACCTAATGTCCTGCCACCATGCTACAGTTTCCCCAAAAGCTGTGTTTTAGATCAGGGTGCCTGCACCTGTTTCCGGACTGCTGATTGGCTAAACTTATCATGATAAGCAAATGTTTTTCAAATGTTGAAGTCTCACCTTATAGTTTTTTAAATGAAGAGTTCATAAGCATTCAGGCCAATTCACTGTGTTGTATGCTGTACAGCTACTATATACATCAGTTATCACATGCAAGCTGTTTCCAAACCACCACGTGTTTACGTGTGCTTGGTAGCAAGAGGTTAAACACCTACACCATGACAGCACTTTTGAACATGACCACCAAACCACCTGCTCTGTGACCCACTGCGAGTTTAGCACAGAAACTGGTTTTCATACCTTAGGTTGGGAAAGGCTGACTTACACAACTCACTGGATGACTACTGAAAGACCTCACAGAGCTATTAACACACAACATGTGAAGCAATGCTAGGACAGTGCTTGGATACGTAGTGATTCTTGCATGAGCTTAACACGAGCACAAAGAGGTTTAAAACTAATACTGCACGGAAACACACACATCTCCCTTATACACATTGTCCACTCTCTTTGGGATTTCGTATTAAGTTTACAAAAGGCTTTTTGTAGAGGCTTTAATTGGAATTCCTTTTTTGGTATGTGGAAGACTCCTATCTAAACAATGCGGTAAAATAAAGCAAATTCAGTGAAATACAATACCGAGACAAGAATATCCTCAGGAGTTATGAACAAAAAACACTATGAGTCAGAGGGGTGTCGAGTGAGTTGTAGTTTGGGGGGGGTTGGCAGGGCTAACATTCTTATATTACAGAAGGGTGAAATGAGTAATATGTGTGGTTACGCATACACAAACGATACACTGAAGCAAAACTAAGAACATAAATGTTCAGAACAATTTACACACCAGTGGGTTTGTAAAAAGCAGAACAATTTCACTGCGAGAGATGCTATTTTAATACACAAAGACCTTAGAAAGTTACTAAAAGAAAAATGAGTCCTGCTTTCTTGTCTTCAGTTTGGTGTGTGACACTTTTTCAAACAGCTTCTGATCTAAGAATAAAACTTGTGTCTTTTTCCTGCAGCCTGCCTGGGTAGATTTACATATCATGGCATGCAGTTTGGTTTTTTACATAGCATCATCATTTCAGGTGACTGTGTGAGTTTATGAACGCAGTTTTAAAAACTGTCCACATGGGATTATGCAGAGCTACTGTATCCAAGCTGATAACGTGGTTTGACAACTTGGGAGCAAAAGGCAGAAGACATTAGCATTTTCCGTATTTGATTTTTACCCAGCACAATATAAGGATAAGCTACGTTGGCCTACATAATACTCTCAATCCCCTTCATTCCCTGTTGTGTTTGTCAAGTGTGTTTACATGCACGCAGGATCTGAGCTAATGTTTTTAACGTCCCTAAAGAAATCATTATTCGGGGGAAAAGCCACACACATGCGTGCATTTTCATATTCCAGCCATGATGTAGGAAATAAACCAAGCAGCAGCCCTGGGCTTTCAAACTCAGCAGTGAAAGGGAATCAAACTAGCACACAATCATTTTCAAACATTTTCAAATACATATAGATATATGCTTATGATATTTTTCTGAAATTAAGGCCTGATAAAAATGTGGAGCTTATATGACACTTCAAATCTCTTGATGCACAGAGTTATTCCTTAGTGCCTTTGTCTCATTCACCTACACATAAATGATTCATGGAGATAGTAAATCTTATCTGGGTGACACCAGCTGGCTCCAAAAAAACATCCCTGTGTTTTCTGCAGATGACTCACAAAATATGATTACATGGTTTATTGTTGGCTTCATATGGTGCTGGGATTTTGACAGGAGCAACATTCAGTAGTGCTAAGAACAGACACTGCATTAAAAACAGGTGTGCCACAAAACACTTTGTTCCTCACTGTCCACTACAAATACATATGTTTCATTAATCAAAAATAAATAAAAAGGGATTCCTTTTTTGTTTTGTTTTTAGATGGATGGATGAACAGAGATTTGCATTTTTGATGAGCTCATATGTGAAGTACCTTTATATTCCACGACCTAAACAAATTTGAAACGACACCATGACAATTGGTTTTTCATTTCCTTTAGTTTATCAGTATCAAAAGAATCAATCTGATGTGACAGTCTTTTTTCTATTATTATTTATTGAGTGCTCCAAATTCCTGTTTCACAACATATGACACCTGGTCTGTAAACTAAAGCCTCTAAGCTCCTGCTTCTTAAAGCAGCTAAGTTTGCCACCAGGTGCATGCCATTTCCTCTCAAACCGTCCAACTGATCTGCAGAATAATAGCTTCCTGCATGATCTAGCTCTGAAAGTGTTGCCTCACAACACCGTGTAAGCCCATCAGTAGGAAACGTGCATTCAAGCAGTCTAACCTACATTGCATTTTTGATGACAACCGGGGTAAAGTGATCTGATGTGCTTTTACTGTGGGCTTTCTCGGCAGCACGGTGACGAAGAAATTGCCAAGCTGGAGCGCAGTTTCTGATTCAAAGTGGTCTTCTGTTCACACCAGACCATTGAAGCCACTGATGGGCTTTGATGTCAGCTCCCAGTATTCCTCACATTTACTCAATGCACTCTGTGGGAGACTAACAACTGAGGTTTATTGTTAATACCTCATTTAGCCAGATGCCTCAATGCTTTACTGATTTTTTGACTTAATATTTAGTGAATATAAGCACAAAAAAACAAGCTGGCACACCTTTCATTAACCTGCACCATGCATGCAATCACAGGCATTATAAGATCCACACACACATTCTCTGGGGCCACGTTTTGCAGTAGACCGTTATATCAGGATCATTACACATTTATAGACTTGGACGAATTGCATGTAAAGTCTTTAGCACTTGGTTTACTTTGTGATGTATAAACTGGCAAGAAAGCTCACAGATGATAAATGCCTTTAAATCCAGTGCTTAATGGCTAAAGGGAAGGGCTAATTCGTGAATATGCCACAGTTTTAGTGAGTTTCTAGTGAATAAATGTGTTATAATAATCGCTCTGTGACCGTATTACATTTTCAAAAATATACATACAATTGTTAGCTCTTGTATTTTAAACGACTAAAGGGAAGGCTCGAGCCTTTTTTTCGTTTTATAATACTGTTATGCCGTTTTCACGTGCGGTGAGCGTGCGGTTTTAGTCACGTAGGGAGGAAAAAAGAAGGGAAAAAATCGGTTTTGAGATTAGCCTCCTTCACAGGTACCAACCACAGAATGCAGTCAGTGACAACCTACTTAGTCATAACAACGACACACCCTCTAAAAGCCCCCAGCAGCTCTCAGCTCACCGAGGAAACCCTTTAAAAAACAGAAACCAGAGGGATAACGAAACACAGCCATGCCCGACATGGCACCGAGCGGCCGCTTAAACCAGCGTACCGGGAGAAAAGACCACTCGGTGTAGCTAGCGATTTGATAGTCGCTTTCGTTCCGACCAGCATTTCCTGCCCCTGTGGTTTCACTCACTCCCACTACAACACCGCAGACACGACGGTGATAAACCAGTAAATTCACCATGTGCAAAGGCGGTTTTTAGGCGTTTCTTACCTGAACATAATTGTTTTCACAGTATTCCGCTACCCGGGACAGGTTCTGGTAGCTTTCCACGAGCGCTCTTTTACCGGCAGGGATTTCCTCCTCTAATAGCATTTGTAGCTCTGCCATCTTACATCCCTTTGCATTTCTCTCCTGCCTGTCCTTTTTCTCAGCGAGGCGAGGCGGTGATGCTGTGCTGTGTTGCTGAGAAAGGGGCTCCCCCGCCTGGCATTGTCGGGCCGCTGGCCTGCGATTCACAACAGCCCGTGACTAATCAGAGTTACGTTATAAGCGGTGAGAGCTGATTGGCTGAGAGGCCGAGGGAGAGGAGCCGTTGCCCAATGGCATTTTACTGCGATAGCATTAGTAATATCGCTTATAAACGCTGATAAAATAATACATCGTTTTATTTAGCGATATTTTACATGGTATAGCTAATAACACAATGATTGCGAATAGTTGATTTTAGCTTGTATTTAACTACAATATATTAACATATTATTATATATTATTAATAAGGTTATAAGGTCTCATGTAGACACGTGTCACATCTTTAAATTCTTCTTTCCTCACACACACAAACAGTCAAAGAGAAACAGCGTTAGCTTGAAATTAATATATTTTGTTTTTACATCACCATTATCAACCCATTTTGCAACATTAACATCCATCAAACACTAATTTAAAAACAGGCCTATGAAAAATATAGAAATATTTTTATCTGGAGCACATAAAAATAAAAATATATAGCTTAAATTCTACAAGACAGTCTGAGAATAGGCACTATAAAACTCTAATCTGATGTGTTTACAAAATAACAGAACGTGTCTTATTGAATCATCAGCATTGACAATATCCTTTATAGGTTTAGTTTAATTTTAAGAAAAGAGAAAGAGAACTATTTTCTTTTGCTGCCTGGACAAAAAAGAGACCTAGACGCAGATTCCTACATTTCCCACTCACCACTTCGGTTTAAAGCTCCGCTCAGAGAGGTTTGTGGGATTTGAATGCTTAAGCGTTGAGATGTGCACTACTATCTGCAGTTTTTTTCACTGAATAAAACTACATCACCCAGACGTGTTTAAGGCTCAAACGTTGCGTGTTTGGCTCATCCTTGACCGGAGCAGATTGGCTTTTTTGCTGCATATTGCAGACAGACACCGGGCTAATGAAATAATTATCTTACCGGCCAATGTGAACTTGATGGTGAGTGAGCAAATGAACCACAGAAAAATGCATTTCACTCGGAGAATATAGTCTGTTATCGCTGAACGAAAAAAAACGACGAGGGTAATTTTATAGAACAATTTCATCTCAAAATCCCAGATTAGAGAGAAAGCAGCTGGCCTTTTACAAATACAGGACAGGTGCCAGCAAGGTGCAGTGGTGAACAAACTGTGTCACCCCCTCCCTTCAGCTCTTTCTGATTTTTTTTTTTTTCATTAATTGCTTCAATTTCTTGCTCAAGATGTGAGGACTCATTCATGTCATCCTTCAGTGGACTCGGCATGGCGCAGGAGGAGGACAAGCACAGCCTGGAGGCGAAATTTGCTGCGGCAGTTAAAGTGGTCCGGAGTTTGCCCGAAGAAGGTGATGACTTATTAAAATCTGCTATAGAGCCCGTGTGGGAAAATAAGTAGAAAATGGTTGAACTCGAGTGCTCAATGATCAGCTGTGGAGTGTAAAATCTGTCCTCACTGGGCTTGTTTGTTCACTCTGTGTGATTGACCTACATGTGTTGCACTTAAGAGCTGTCACTCACACTTGGCTGACCCCAAAGCTGCTACAGGGATGAGAGCTGATTAACCGAATCAGACACTTCATGCATCTTTGCCACATTGTGTGTTACTGGTTTACTGCACACAAAGCCTGAGCTTGCCTTTCTGTTGTTTCCTTATTTTTTAGGTACTTTTCAGCCATCTGATGACATGATGCTGATGTTCTACAGTTACTATAAGCAGGCCACTATGGGGCCGTGCAACATTTCCAGACCAACCGGCTTCTGGGACACTCATGGAAAAGCTAAATGGTATATGCATTTCTAATATGGACCCATAATACCCCAACTAGTTTTTAAAAAATGCACAAGAGCCATGAAATTTTACTATCGGGGTCCCTCCCCTGTGGCACGTATGACCACTGCATGGCTATTTTACTATGGAGCCAAATGCACTTAGTTCTCCCCCGTATACTGTTGCACAAATACAGAAAATACTTCAACTTCACAGCCTCAGTTGATTTTGAACTATGACTTTGTGTTCTCAGGGATGCATGGAGCTCTTTAGGAAATATGACAAAGGAGGAAGCCATGAAGAGTTATATTGAGAACATCCAGCTGGTAAGTCCTTTCAGGCAAAACTGGGGTTGAATAGAAGCAGCACGCAGAATAATAAACACTCGTGGCATCATGCTTTGAATAAATGACTTGGCGTGCTCAGAAAAGCGCGGGCATTTAGTCGAGGGATGTGTTAAACAACTCTTCTCTTGCGAAATGTAAAGTATCTTATTGGCACTGTTGTTTGCCTCAACTTGCATGCATTTGTACCATAATGCTCCCGAATCAAAAGAGCCTTTCTGTTGATTTATCAAATTTATATGTGTGTTTTCAGATTCTGGAGACTGTGCCAATTTCAGAAGATGTGTCTGACCTGGTACAGATGCTGGGAAATTTCTACACAGAGGTAGAGGGAGAGGAGGCTGAAGAAAATGAGGTGGACAGGAGACCCTTCACCAGACCCTTTGCACAACATGCGGGTAAAGCAAGCCTGGAAACATGCCTATGGAGTATTCTCAAGTTGTCGTGTTTCCGATCAGTATAGTGTCATGACATGACGGCATTCCATCTCAATTCATCAAATTTTGCAAAATAAATAAATTCAGTCAAATTCCATTATCTAGAAAACTAGTTGAGCTGGATCCTTCACATCTTTAAGGTAAATGTCTGGTTTGGCGGCTCTGTGACTGTGGACTATCAATTAAAGTTCATATAGAGTGATGGATGCTTGCAGTCCCTAAAATGTTTGGCTGTCGGCCTCTGACAGCAGATTTGGAGGCCTGTAGAAACCACCGTTTTGCATATATTAGGCATATATTTAGTTTACAGCGTCTCATACACACACTTGATTTTCTTTCAAACAAGAGCTTTCACAGAGATTAAATCTAAATACATTTTCATCCAACTTCAATGTGATATGTACTGAAAGCCAAATAACGAACAAGTTTCTGTTAATGTCATATCGAAAATTTGTGATGGTGCTCTCTCTCATTTTCCCAGTATCGATTTTGAAACACTCATCTATCTGCTAAACATTGTAATGACCCTGTTGCTAAGTGACTGTAAATGTTTTGAGGGGTTTCGTGTGGCTTTTGGTCCACATATGAAGGCACGTCAAAGGAAATGAAAACACAGTAGCCTGCAGGTGATAGCAGCGCTGCTCAGATGGGGTGATATGGTGATCTTTTTTTTTCTTAATGCATGTCTTACATGTTTTTTTATCCCTAGATGAGCTGGTTAAACCTTTTAAGAAGCCAACAATGGAAGGCAAGTCCTTGGTGTTTGCGAGGGCTGTAGACGTGATAGAGTTTTTTAGTTTAGTTACGTTGCTTTCATTGCTGTTGCAGCTGAGTGAAAATCGTCTCTGCTTTAAGCTGTATGAGCTGTAAAAAAAAATAAAAATTAGAGCAGATTTTCTTGTGCTTTTTTGTCATGTCTAGTATGTGCTGTGGTAAGGCGTGTTGGTCTGTTGGCTCGCATTGTGGCGTTGTTACAGTGTGCAGACCCCGTGAAGTGATGTCAAGTTTCCTGTGTGGCTTTTCTGTTGTGCAGATTTTTGCTGTGCATCTATATGCAATTTTTGAATTAATCAAGAGCATTTCCCTCACTGTTCAGGGTATGGGGATCTGTGGGATGATATTCAGAACCTCCACGAAAACGACAACAGTGCTCGAGGCTTGAGTGTCAGTAGCGAGGAGAATAGTGGCGTGGAGAGAAATGAGGGAAGTAGTGAATGGAGGAGAAGTGAGGAAGAGGAAAATGGGGATGAAGGACACAATGCGGACCATGAAGACAAGGAGGAGGAAAGAGGTACAGTGTAGTTTGGGTCATGGGCTGACAGAGGTGCTGGTTTGTGTTGTTGTAGAGGCAACATACAGCCAAATAATTGCTTCTCTCCTAACTTTCCTTATGTGTTTGCCTGTTTTAATGAGTTTAGCAGGAAATCAGTGCAGCTATTAAGTCTGCTCTTTGGGATCCCATAAACCCTTATTGCCAAGTATTAGATAAAACCATTAGCTGAGATTTTTTGGGAATTTTTTCCCCCTTTTCTTTCCAGGAAAAATACAAAAAATCATGAAATGTTGAATATTTAAAGGATGCAAGACACACGTGGATGGGATTTTTCCAGTTCCATATTTTTAGTTTTAAACTCAAGACGACTAGGTTATAATAGCTTTGCACGATTCACAGATCTACATAATATTTATTGTGTGCCTCGGTGTAACCCTCAGTCTGAAACCATTATATCTCCCATCCCCTTCACTGTAAGTCAACGTTTTCTGATTGGCTGCCCCTCATAAACACCATGAAGTGAGCGGAGGTTTGTACTGATCATATTAAGACATTTTTGGTGTTAATATGATTACCCACCATTGTCACAGTAGGTATATATGTGGGGCGATCGTGGCTCAAGAGTTGGCAGTTCGTCTTGTAATCGGAAGGTTGCCGGTTTGAGCCCCGGCTCAGACAGTCTCGGTCGTTGTGTCCTTGGGAAAGTAACTTCACCTACCGCCTACTGGTGATGACCAGAGGGGCCGATGGCACGATATGGCAGCCTCACCTCTGACAGTCTGCCCCAGGGCAGCTGTGGCTACAACTGTAGCTTGCCTTCACACTTTGGGGTCCTTAGGGATTAGTAAAGCGCTGTACAAATACAGGCCACCGGCCAGGCCATTCACCAGTGGAATTGTAAAGCGCTTTGAGGGTCCCAAAAAGCACTATATAAATGCAATCCATTATTATTACATATCACAGAAAATAAGGAAAAACGTATAAATAATACACAGCATTTCTGTCAGATAAAGAAAAAGTATTTTCATAATTCTTTCCCATAGTCCATGTCTTTGTGTTATGTCAGACTGGAGTCCTGACCCACGGCTGTTAATGGTGGAGGACAAGAGGTGGAGGTGGTCTGACACTAAAGGCTCCTGCAGCAGTGTGGAGCCCAGTGTGTCCTCCTTCACCAACGGGACCCACAGCTCCCTCAACAGCGATGTGGAGGAGGAAGAGCTGGCATGTACCTTAGAGCCCAGTGTACAGTATAACCCATACATGCATGTTAATGGACATCTGACTGGTAAGATTACATAGAAATGCTAACATTCTGTATTGGATTGCATGCTGGATATAGAAAACCAAAATATCTGATAAGACATCATCTGTAAATTGCTGTCAAATTGTACAGTATAGTTCTCTTTAGCCTGTAATTTAAAAATGTAGGTTTTAGGCACAATTTACAATGCTGGACATGCTCTTCTCTTTCTTTTTTGTGCCTTAGATCATAACGATGCTATTCTTGAGAAGAACCACCGATCCACTGACTCAGATAATGAAGAGTTCTGTGACTCCATGGAGCACCTAGCCACGGATGAGGTGTGGTGCGAAACATGCTTTCCAAATAAAACTAGGCCATTGCATGAGCTATTCATATTTCGTCCATACAAAGTGTGATGATGCTCTTCATTTTCCTGCTAAGCGGCTGTCCACGTCCAAAGGCCTCTCACGGGGATCAGGAGCTGGCTCGATGAAGCAAAGGGATGTCTGGTTTGAGAGCAACACCACCCTGATAGGTGGAGAAGATCATGTCCTCACAGGAGATGTTAAAGAAGGGATTAGTCCAAGAAAACACATCAGCTCCTTGTCAAGAACAGGGAGAGGTGAGATTACTGCAGATGATGCTGAATCCCCGATTTAGCAGTCTCTCACAATGTATTCCCCCGTTTATTCTCCTGAGCATTTAAATAAATGAGATACCCTTCCTACCATTCCATAAAGTCTGCATGTATTCTGGTTCTCCTTCCAGGTTCTCAGACACCGAGGGCTACCTGCAGCGCTGAGCCATGTGTGAGCGTAAATGCCACCTGCTGCTGTGTGTCACCGAGCAGACTGCATCCTGGCAGTGTTACCAGGGGAAGCATCAATGAGCAAATAGCCACTGCTCTGCTGAGACTGCAGTGCGACATGGCCAATGTGCTGTACAGGCTGCATGCTCTGGAGGAGCTGACCAAGTCACAGGTGAACAACCAGACATGTGGCCACTTGTTTAGGTGCAATTAAGGAACTTTTTGTCACAGTTTTTCTCTTTTTTAAGTCATAAAAAATTCAATTAAAATCGACAAATTCTAAATTGATTTTATTTTCATTCCCTTCAAGACAATCACTGATTCTAAGGATGTTTTCTTAAACATTTTTTTTAATTTTCATGTTTTCTTTTCTTTCAGTCAAGATCATCTTTGCCAAGGCGGGGGGACTCTGTAACTGTACCAAGACAGGTGCTCATTAAAAAGCTTTTTTGCTCTCAGCTATGAAGCATGACCTGTTATTATACTCTCCCCGAAGAGTGGTTTGTTTGCCTGTCTGTTTGTTTGTTAGCACTCTAGCATCCATAGTTTTCAGCATATCATGTTCAAATTTCGTGTGACAGTCGATAGCAGTAACAGCTCGAGCTGATTTAATTTTGGTGAAAATCAGGTCAAGCTCAAAGACACAAAATGCGAAAATCAGTAAAAACTTTATATTATCTGCATTGTTTTAATAAATCATCTTCAAACTTCACAACAATATACGAGGCCTTGAGGACATGAGTACCTCGGTTTGCTAAACATTTGACCTTAGCCTTCGTTGTTAGTGCCCGAGGTTAAAGTTAACGTTGAATAAAACAATTCAGTAAACCATAGTGAGTAATATATGATATGAAGGTGAATGGACAGAGCTGTACAGCACTTTTTGTTTTTTTCAATACAGTGCCCTACGACCTCACAATGATGCCAGAAAGTTTCCCACATGTGAATATATCATAATATCTCAAGTTTTCACAGTCCAGAGAAATCAAAGATTTCAGCCAATTCTGTGCAAAGATAATAAAATACACCATTTCAAGGTCATAGGTCAAAGGTCAGAGATCAGTGTGTTGTCATAAAAACCTGCTGATGTCACTATGTTGTATTAAAACAGTGTTTTAGCAGTCCTTGTGCTCTCTGAACTGTTTCAAAGTGGAAGTTAGAGGCTTTTTTCAGTTCCACTGGGAAATCAGAGTGCCTTTACCCCTCTTGTTTTTTTATTTCTGATTTTTCTTTTAAGTTCCTGAGACCATCGTGGTGGCCTTGTGACTTCTCCCCACTCACAGTCGTGTTCACCGCACTCTGGCCTCTTATCACCCACTGGCTTGTCCACCTTTACTTACAACGAAAGAGAAGGTGAGAAAAAGTCTCTTGGAGATCATTTGGGTTTGTTGTGAGGGATGACTCTTCTTGTTTTATGACCACAATGAAACACAACTAAAATTCAGTTTCTGCATTTCTCCTCACAGCAAAATACCGTGAATTGTCTATTACTACTACTGGCAACTATCAACATCGATCAAAGAAGATGAACTGTGGATGAAAACGATGCACTTTTTGGGGGTTTTGTGGCTTTCTAGAGCTAAAATCAGATGCAGAGTGCAATGAGGCATCGGTAGAAATTTAAAAGGCTGTTTTAGATGAACGGATGGTTGGAAACTTGGCGATGTAGTGTAGCGTTTAAACTTGAAGCAGACTTTTGAGGTATTTAAGAAAAGGGTTTGATTTATGCATCACCAGTGCTGGCCCAGTTTCTTTGCTCCAGTTAGTCTGTCATGAGGTGGTGATCTTATATATGACGAGGAGATTTCCAGAACCTTTGCAGAACTTGTGAAGTTAATTCACGGTTCATTGTCATGCAATAGCTGTAGACTTCAAGCGATAAAGAGTTTTAGAGATTCTCATTCCCAGTTATTTATTGTACATTTTATATTTTAATTCGTTTTCCCCCTCAAACTAGAGTGTTCCATTACATGTACTGTAATGTAATTACAAGGACATTGGTCTTTTATATGTGTTGTCTTGAATAGATACATATTTTAGGAGAGTTTCTTTTAAAGTCAAAAACACACTTGATGTGAGAAACATTATTATTTTTGTGTCAGGCTATTTATTTTATAGCTTTACTGCTATAGTAACCAAAAAACAAACAAAAAAAAACAACTGAGAAGAGTGCAGACAGTCCACATATCTATATAAACATTCTTGTTTCTTGCTAGTTTTAAGTAGACAATGAAGAATACTGTTTGGTTTATGGAAGGATAATGCTTACAGTTGTAAAATATGAGCATATGAAGCACATTGCAAATGTAATAAAGACATTCTTAGAACAATCACATTTTTAATGATGTTGATGCTTATTTGAGAGGCTGTGAGTTTTTTCCAAGAGTGTTTTCTTATTTCTATTTATCAGTGTGAGTAGTTACTAAAATATTTTTGTATTTTTCTGTAGCGGTTAATCCACCAGAATGTGCAAGCTATTTAAAAAAAATGCTAAAATATATTATTGTTATTATCCACGAATTTTCAAAATTACTTTTTTACAAAAGCTGAAAAAAACCCGTAAAGTGCGTTTACTTTTATGCGTATTACTATTATGTCTTTTGTTTTGTTTTTACAGTTATATGCTTTCATTCCGGAACAGATAAATCGGTTTTAGTGGTTGAAAGTTATGCTCGATTCATTTCCATCTCAAGATTGGGCAAAACAATGTGGACATTTCTTTAAAAATAAATAAACAGGTACTTTAGCGTGACCACAAAAGGGAGTCAAATTTCGACCGGGATACAAAATTTGTCACAACATGGTGGAGGTCATATCCGGGTTATTTTCCGCTGTCACTTCTTGCCGCAAACACGGACCTTTAACTCTCAGGGACAGTCATATAACTTGCATATAGCTTAACTGGGGTCTTGCACAGGTGACAATTAAATATGTTTTCCTTGTCAACGACGGTCCAGCCTCAGGTAAGAAAGCAGGATAAGTTAGCTCAAGCTAATAGTAGCGCTCTTGTTCTTTTGGTTCACTTGAACGTGCTAGTAAGCTAGCTTAACCTTAGCATGTTTGTATGACTCCCCCTGCTGTCTTTCGTTGTAGTTTATTTTGAACTGTGCATTTACATCGGTGGACAAGTTGCCACACCAGTTATCTGCTGTTTTCCCGCAGTTAAAGTAAAATAAGCAACGTGGGTCGTTGAGAGAAGTTTTGGCTAGCGCGTTAATGATAGTTTCTCAGTCTCCGCTGTGTCCTTAGTTGTGTGTCAAATAGTAAACTGCGTCATTGAGCGATGTGTCATTAATTAATCTGTCAATCGCCTATATGTAGCTATGTTTATGTTTGTTTATGCCATCCAACTTTGCAACACCGGCTAGTTAACGTAATCTGTCTACATCGTCACCAGTCTCAATATGAGCAGCCTTCAGCTTGTAAGTGTATCTTTTGATATTCACAACGTACTATAACGTAGTCATTCACCAACTGATTGCAATGACCACAGGTGACTGTACCCCTGAGTCACCTCATCAACGTCCTCCACTCTCTGAAAAGCTCAGTGGGGAGCAGCAGCAGTGCCTCCTGCAAATCAAGAAAACGTAAGGAGCGTGCTGCAGACCCAGAACTACACTGTGCCGAGGTACTCGCTGTACAAGTGCATGTCCTGACACTTGCTTGAATGTTCTGAACAATAACGAAAACATTGCATGCTCAATGTTATTAAAAATATGAGGCACACCTCATAGGAAAAGCTATATACTTTGTTTGTTTACAGTCTGTGTGGAATTTACGGGAGCTGGGTTTATCAGATCTGGGAACGCAGCAGCTGGATGAGCTGGTGACTCGTGTGTTGCCACACTTGAGCCCACAGGAAGCGCCACTTGCATTTGGTGGTCAGACGGCCTGGAGGACCTCGCATCTCTCCACACATTCCTTTTTCCACAATAAGCATGGTGAGGAAGATGTATCTCAATATATCTCTATCTCACATCAGATTGATTAGTGTAGCTACTAAATGATTGTCACACAGGCCGACAAACCAGTTAGCAACCCTATTGCAATTTCAGGTTGCGAGGGAAAAATGTACTTTCCCCTGGTGAAATCGGTTGCATCAGAAACCTTCATGCTTGGGTTTCTAGCAGATTGGTGCCATCACTTTTAGTTCATCTTCCAGGCAAACTTTGAGCAACTGTGCAGCCTGTTAGTGACTGAAGCAATCAAAAGAACCTTTTTCGTGCAGCACCATATACGTCTTTGCAACCAATTTCCCGCCCATCAACCTCCAGCAACCACTTGCCAGCCAAACATGGAATGCACTTTTTTCCCCCTTGCTTAAAGGAAGCGAGGCTCTGTGGTTACAGGTTTCTCACTGACTGGTCTCTAAGCCTGGTGACTGCCAGCAACCACTTGCAACATTTTGATGAATGCACACTTTTCTCTTATGACCAGTAGTTGCCAAATGACTGCCAGCTGGTCTCTAAGCTTGTGTGACTGAGGCCTTAATGAGACAGTAAGGCCAGTTTGCCCTGCAGTTACCTCATGATTTAAACGACACTTATACTTTGTTCTCTCTCCCCAGGCTTCTCATGGAGTCGCGTGCCGACACCGGTGTTTTCAAGGCTGCACCCTTCACCACTTCAGTCTGTCTTTACAGATCTCCAGTACCGGCCAGGTAACCATGGATTACAAAGTAGTTCAATAATTTTATGAAAGACTCAAACTTCATATTGAGTTACAACAAATAAATGATCTGAGTTGGTTTGTATGTTTATGTGAAAGCAAGACAGGCTGACATTACTGACAGGGTCATTGCAAGCATATCTTACATTTGTAAAGTGTGTAAAGTGTGCGTGTTAGTCCCCATAGGGAAATAGTTCCTCTGCATTTAACCCATTCACCCAGTGAAGCAGTGGGCAGCCGCCAGTGCAGCGCCCGGGGAGCAGTGTGTAGGGACGGTACCTTGCTCAGGGGTACCTCAGGGTAGCCGTTCAGTGGAGTCGAACCCCCGACCTTCCGATCATGGGGCCACCACTCTACCTACTGAGCTATCCCTGCGTTGTACTTCTAGCTGTAACAACATAATATACATTTACACTCACTGACCAATTTATTAGCTACACTTGTGAAACGTCTATACAAGCTCTCCTGCTGGCACTTTTTAAACGTTTATTTGAAATTGCTATTAAGGCGTTAATTCTAAGTGATGTTTATGGCTGAGCTCAGATCTATAAGTATTTCCTGTATTTTGTTCATCCCATTGACATAACAGATAAGAGCTATTTTACTGGACTCTGTTTTTGATAAAGTTGCTGATGACTTCACTATGTTTATGTCTGCGTGATTTATTTCAGCGTTGGTTCAGACCAGAGGTTTTAAAACTTTAAGGAGCAAAACAAGACGACTGCAGTCAGCTTTCGAACGGCCTGCCGACTCTGAAGGGTTCACGCCATCTTTTATGAAGGTACATGTTTATTCACAAGGTTGGCATGCATTGCCAAATCCTTATGTTATGGACGTGTAGAACATTTTTAATACTTTGTCATCAATGTGCATGATAAAATGCAGCAGCAAGTATGAAAAACAGCCTGCCTTTTACAGTCACAAAACTTGAGGAATGTGTGACAGCTTATATCTGTTTAGTCTGTGACACCTGCAGACTTGTAATTTAACTTGATGACCAAAGAATGTTTTTTTTTACATATATAAATATATATATTAGAAAGAGGTTTGCTGATCTTGTCCCTGTAGTTGTAAAACCTGTGGCTCTGGTGGTTCTTGCAAGAGTAACAGTGATGCAGGCTTTTAGATTGGAGTACTGACCAGACTTGCTTTGGACTGCAGGGGTTTCTCACACGTGACAAGGGGATAGAAGTTGAAAGTCTAGACAGCATGGTGAAGAACAAGAACATACCTGATGGACAGCAGGATGCGTTCAAGAGGGGCTTCGCTGAGGGTTTCCTGAAAGCTCAAGCCCTGACACAGCGAACTCAAGGCAAGTTTCAGTACAAACACACCTAGACTCAGTATCATTATACAGAATTAAACTGTGCTGATGTTCTTGTTTGACCGTCAGACTCACTTAGGAGGACTCGTCTAATCCTGCTGGTGCTGCTTCTCGTTGGGCTGTATGGCATCTCGAAGACGCCCTTCATATCGGGTAAAGGCCCCCTTTCCCTCCAAACACTGGATCTTAGTTTCAAAATAATTTGCCTCCAAAGTACTAATATTTTAATAATCAGTTAAAATATTAACAGTAGAGCTAAACACTTGCAAGCTTGTTCCAACTAAACCAACTAAACCATTTGCAGTGGTGCTGCTGTGTGATGTGGCTAACATGTAATGTGTTTGTCTGTGTGAGTTGATTAACCATGACATGCCGCATGATTTCGAACTTTAATCTAATCATTTTGGACAGTGCGGTTCCGAACCACATCAGGCCTGGACTCAGCCGTGGACCCTGTGCAGATGAAAAATGTGACATTTGAGCATGTGAAAGGGGTCGAAGAAGCTAAGAATGAGCTGCAGGAAGTGGTGGAGTTCCTTAAAAACCCACAAAAGTTCACAGCTTTGGGAGGAAAGCTGCCTAAAGGTGGGTTATTTTTCACAGTGGCACATTCACAGTGACCTCTGGCATTACTCTTTCAAAACTCATTTTCTCCTCTGTTTTGTCTCTTTAATTTAGGAGTTTTACTTGTGGGCCCTCCAGGGACTGGAAAGACCCTGCTGGCCAGAGCAGTGGCAGGAGAGGCAGACGTACCGTTTTATTATGCCTCCGGCTCAGAGTTTGACGAAATGTTCGTTGGAGTGGGAGCGAGTCGCATCAGGAACCTCTTCAGTGCGTTTTTAAAAAAATAATAATAATAATTATTAGCATCCTTTTTTGTATTAGTTAATTTAGAGTTTAAAGTTGATTGCTTGATATGTTTGTTTTTGGGTGACTGCTTTTCTTAAGGGGAGGCCAAAGCCAACGCTCCCTGTGTGATTTTCATCGATGAACTGGACAGCGTGGGTGGGAAAAGGATAGAATCTCCTATGCACCCTTACTCCAGACAGACGATCAACCAGCTTCTTGCTGAGATGGATGGGTAATCTGTAAAATCAAAACTCACATTTTATGAATGTTCAGGAAGCAAGTCGACTAAAATAATTTCTCAAAAAGCTAAATGTTGTGTGTTATTACAAACAGTATGATTGATTTGGGTGGCATAATGATGGTACTGCATATTTTTTGAGGTTTAAATGAGAGTCATTTAAATTTTTGAAATCTTAATTTGTAGGTTTAAACCAAATGAAGGGGTGATCATCATCGGGGCAACCAACTTCCCAGAGGCTTTAGATAAGTATGTTTTGCCTCTTATTCCCTTATTCTTATTCCCAGCGAAAATATCACTGCTCATATTTTAGAAATGTCAAACTTTACAGTCCTCATTCTATCAGTTGTAATTGGCAATGCAAACAAAAAAGAGCTAAACCCTCCGGGCTGTGTTTCAAGTTATATGCTTGCACTTTATCATCTCTTTTTAACCAACTGACGTACCCTTGCAGTGCCCTGATTCGCCCAGGGCGTTTTGACATGCAAGTGACTGTGCCCAAACCAGATGTGAAAGGACGCACAGAAATTCTCAACTGGTACCTAAAGAAGATCAAAGTGGATCCAAGTGAGAAATTAGAATCTGCTAACGAGGAATAGGTTCATTATAATGCCCTTTCATAACCACATGGATGTTGTTTGTTATTTCTGCAGCTATCGAGGCCAATATTATTGCCCGAGGCACCGTGGGCTTCTCTGGTGCTGACCTTGAAAATCTGGTGAACCAGGCTGCCCTAAAGGCAGCGGTTGATGGCAAAGACATGGTCACTATGAAGGAGCTGGAGTTTGCTAAAGACAAAATCCTCATGGGTGAGTGATAGTTTGGTGTAAAGATGTACATCATCGAAAGTAAAGAGGCTACGATAACAGCAAACATCACGAAAGTCAGATGATCCCCTTTGAACAAGAACTGTGAACAGTGGTCTTTTCTTTGTTTTTCCTCAAGGCCCAGAGAGAAGGAGTGCAGAGATAGATGATAAGAACAAGCGCATCACGGCGTACCACGAATCAGGCCATGCAATTGTAGCTTTCTATACCAAAGATGCGATGCCAATCAACAAGGCTACCATCATGCCCAGAGGCCCCAGTCTGGGACATGTAAGGAAAGCTGGAGCTGGTTCATACTCTCACTACATAACTTTAAATTTGAATGCCTGGTTAAAACTTTCTTTATCTTCTACATCCTCAACTTCATCTTCAATGCTTCTTTGAAGGTGTCCATGCTTCCAGAGAATGACAGGTGGAGCGAGACTCGCTCTCAACTTCTGGCCCAGATGGATGTCAGCATGGGCGGCCGTGTAGCTGAGGAAATCATATTTGGCCATGATTACATCACAACTGGTAAGAAAATGTCCTTGAAGTGACCAGAGAGTGAGTGAACTGGGAGGGTAGATTGTACAAACACACTGATTCTTAGGTGAAGAAAGCTGCAGGACAAGGTGGAATTAATGATTTATGATGTAGGATTGAATGAGTCATTTCTTGTTCTTCAGGAGCATCAAGCGACTTTGATAGTGCCACCAGGATTGCTAAGATGATGGTAACCAGATATGGAATGTGTGAAAAGGTATATTTGCTTAAAAGCAGCACAAAGTGAAAGACTTTATGTCCTTACATTCATTTTTTTCAAGCATCCCCTTTGCCTGTGTGTCTCTTAGCTGGGTATAATGACCTACACTGATCTGGCAGCACAAAGCCCAGAGACACAAGCAGCTGTGGAGCAAGAAATCAGAGTGTTACTCAAGGTCTGTGTGATCTGTTATATAATGTTAAAAACTAACTCCGCTCCTGTTCTTTAAAAAGAAAATTACATTTTGTTTATGTTCTCTGACATCTTTTCTCTTGCTCTCTCCAGGAGTCATATGAGCGTGCCAAAGCCCTGCTGAAGTCTCATGCTAAAGAGCACAAGAACCTGGCAGATGCTCTGCTCATGTACGAGACACTAGATGCCAAAGAGATTCAGCTGGTCCTGGAGGGCAAAACCCTGGAGACCAGATGAACCCTGAGAGGACCCAAATATCTCTGGGCACAGGCAGAGGAGGAGGTAGATTTTAAGAGGTCAACTGATAGAAAAAGGAAGGATGGACTCAGAGGCCTGCATTTATAATGTCACTTTACAAGTGTTCCTGTGGGGAAAATCCCATCCCTTCATGCTGTCTCACCTTCACAGAATCCCATCACTATCCCCAGATAAGTAGTGCTGTTATTTAAAGCATAAACATGAGTGCCCCGTGTTCACATGTAAGCAGCAGTACTGGCTCACTGTATGGGATTAAAGGTTGAATGACTAAATGTTTAATATTAAAAATTTTGCTCAGGTCATTTTATTGCTTGGTGGGAGGAAACAAAACATGAATGTAAATATATACTGCTAACATAACAGCATCTGAATTTCTTTTAGGGTTCCTCATAACTCAGCTGTATCACCATATTAATCTTTAGCCAGACAGACAGACAGATTCACTTCTGGTCCTTTGGAAACGCCACATATATTATCAACCCAAAGAGGTCATTGTTGATACAGCGTCCAGAATATATGTGAATCTCTACTCATGTTTCAGTTCTCTTCATGTGTTTGTGTTCATATCTGATATATGTGAGGTGTGTTTCCAGTGTATCTTACTCCCCTGCTGCTTTCTTTTGAAGGTTACTATATCTTTTTTTTTTTTCTTCCGAAGTAGGATAAAGTTGAACTACAATGGCTCAGCACCTTGGCTAAGCGTGGATATTTAAAATGTTCGTGTGCACTCTTTGTGCCCTTAATTTTCTTTCAAGCGTACAAATGGAAGAAAAACTGCCCCTCAGCTTCAGAAAAGCACGTGACGTAAAGTGGCTGTGTTTGGCGTAGCAATACAGCTTTGGGATCGGAAGGCTTTTAGTTCTGAAATAAAAATAATGCCATAATTTATTTAAAAAGTTTGAGATTGGCTTTTGGAAGCCTCATCAGTGACATAGTAGTTTTTCTTGTACATGCAAATTGTGAAATAAAGACTCTGCAGTTATTCTGAGAAGCTAAAAGGCCAGCTGTCAGTATTGTGCTTCAGTCCCCGTTCTCATCGCTTAACTGTCGAAAGGCTTCTAGCCCGTGTCTGGTCCTGCATACTGGACTGCTTAGTAAACAAATCTCCATAGCACAGTGGACAAACAATGCTAAATGTTTTGTGGTACTTTTCTCCAGGTGTGAAAGAAGATGTGAGGGGAAAATGAATTTCATTTAATTGTAAGATGACTCCAAATCAAACACTTACCAGCACAGATTGTCTGTACAAATCTACGTCAAAGCAGTGAATGTCTTTCTCCAAATGTGTATGTAATCCATATTTAGAACGCTGATTTCAGCATGTTGTGCATCTTGATGTTTGATTTTTATTTTTTTTCCAGTTTGCCACAGTATATTCTGTTTGTTCGCCTTTTAGTGAGTAACTTATCTGTGTATATATAAGGGGTGTAAGGGGAACATTGTATATAGATGTATAGTGAAGCTTTTATGCTGTGTACACTGAATGGCTCTCTGCTGTACATCTCTCCTCAGTGTAAAGGAAAAGGAACCCAAATAAAGACTTAAGTGTGTACAGGTGACTTTATTTATTTTAAAATGCACATAAAACAACACTGCATATACATCCTTGTAATAAGTGACACAACTAAACACCCCCCAAAATCTCAGCAATTATTAAATCTTTATTCAGTTCAATTCAAATCTGTTTGTTTATGTAGCACCAGGTCATGACCTCAGTTGCCTCAAGGTGTTTTGTATTGTTAGATAAATAGCCTACAATATTAGAGATGAACAATAAATATATATAGATATATATAGAGAGATATATATAGATACTTTCAGTGTGTTTTCAGACACTGAAAGTATCTTAGCATGAGCGCACAGGTTTGCTATATTTTAAACAATAGTCCTTTTTTAAAATTTTTTTTTTACATATATATCAATCAAGTTAAAGGCATGGCATCCACAGTTTTAGCGTGAGTGTAATTGAAATGTCAAATCTGCAGACGGATGCACTGGGCATCAGCTCAACGTGACTTGCTACAGGCCCCAAACAACGTGAGAAACACTGGAATAAACGTCAAGCCGTGGAACAGTCCAAACACAATGACAAGAAACACGATTTTGAAAAATGTCCGGAATATGTAACTCCCAGACACGCTCAACACCACCACACCTAAGATAGTGGACAGTGCTCCCTGCAGTACTGGGTAACCCAAAATCGCCAAAGCCTCAATAGCTTTCTCATTGCCGTCACTTTTGGGACTCGAAACAAAAGAGTAGCAAATGTGCGCCGAGAAATCTACCGAGAAACCGATGCACATGACCAGATTGATCATGGAGATGGAATCCAGATTGACGCCCCAGAGGGACATGAATCCCGTCACGCCGGTGATGACTGAAACAATTGCAAACACTACACAAAGTGAGCAGAGAGGATCGGGTATGAGTACGAGAGAGATTGCAAGCATTACGATCACAGCGGTGAGCATGGTTTGGATGGTGTTATTTAAAATGACAGTGTACTGGTCAAAGTAGATGAAAGAAGGGTGGTACACCAGGAGCTCCACTGAACATTCCTCCGCAGTTTTCCTGAGCTCCACCATCATATCTGCCATCGGTACGTTGTTTTTTGTCTGCAGGAAAAAGCGAGATGCCTGAATCTTACCGTCTGGAGTCCATTGGATGTCTTGTGCTAAGAATGGGTCAAAATTTAAGAAAGGTTTCAGGTTGTTTAGGAATTCCTCCTGGGAGCTTATGGGCTTATTATTGCCTTCTGCATAGTTTTCAAAGAAAATGAACCAAGCCATTGTGTTATTGACAAATTTCAGTGATTCAAAACTTGAAATACAAGAATTTAATTGCTTCCGTTGGTCTTTTTCCCAGTAGGGGAATTGCTGCTCTATTGCCACCATTGCACTGAAGCTATATTCATTGAAGTGCTCCTCTTCATGGTTGTAGTAATTGATAATGTAAGAATCATCCAAAGCCAGGTTCTTAGTATCAAGTCCTTCTTTTAAGATTACACAGCCATAGATACTAGCAGCTAAATAACCTGCATAAAGGACAAACACAAAGACTTTTGTCACTTTGTGGGTCAGAAATGGACCGTAGAACCTCTCAAAAAAAGAACTTATGGGCTCTGTTTCCTCTTTTTTAGTATCTTGGTTGTACCGACCCCCAGTACAGCACAACCAGAAAGCTTTTGATTTCCCTGGTGCATCACTTGGGACTTTGATGCAGGTGATCCAGTGCTTGTTCTCTGCTTCTCTCTGCCCATTTAAAGCCATGCATGCACCCAGGAAGGTCAGGCTGTAGAAGTAACAGAAGCAAAGACAAATTCCAGCATAGAGGCAGAAGGACTGGACTGAGCCAAAGGGTGTGATGCAGCCCAGGAAGAGAGCCAGCACATCGGTGAGGGTGGTAATGGTAATGGAGATGGCAGCATCTTTGTAGGTCTCACCCAGCCGTTCTGGAACGCTGTCCAGAACGCAAGTCTTTTGCCAGCAGGAGATCATGATGAACATATCATCGATCCCAATACCTTTAGTGATAAAAGTCAGAGTGGGGAATATTTTTAAAATACAAAATAAGACTTCAGGCTTAGAGTATTGGTGTGTGTTTGTGTGAGTGTCTACAAGGCTAGGGTTAGGGGAGATAGAGACCACTAATGACAGGGTTACCATCACAGCTGATGGTAACCCTGTCATTAGTAATGGTAGTTTCTTAGAAAACATTGCTGAAATCAATCAACTGTAAGTGTTATTTTAAGAATGCAGGTCTTGTTGACAATCGCTGCTGTGAAAATCTTGCTAAAGCTTTTTCTGGCATAACATTTTCTACAAACTGCTGCCTCAACTGAACAGTTTGACCTGAATGTTTAACAGAGCCTCACCTAGAATCATGAAGGGACAGGAGGCAGCTGTCATTACAAAAGGCTGGCCCACCAACAAGAGCAAACCAAAACCACTCACGACCGCTAGACTTGTAGAGAGAACGCCGCAGAACCCCACCCACACCTTCGTCCTCACATTATCCAACCTGAAAAAACAAACTCATATTTTATTTTATCTTTAAAGTAATTTGTCAAATATACATTCAATGACAGGCTTGGCTGTTATTTTTTTCTGACCTCCAGCAAGTTATGATGGAAAATGTGATGGCAATAGAGTAGGTGATGGAAAATAAAGAGATGACAGAATCTGGAGATTTCTCAAATTCCCACTGCATTGACATTGAGGTGGAGTATGATACCTAGAAGATTGGAAAAAGAATGAGCAGGAACAATCTCACCAAGTGGGAGGATAATAACTTAAACACAAAATGTGAGTTCTTACCTGGAGGGAAGGTGAGGAGCTATTCGACACCAAACTAATGAAGCTTTCCAACCAAAGGTCATTTTTTGTTTTGTTGCCCTCTTTTAAATAGTAATAGAGTTGTATAGCTTTAGCGCTTTCAACAACTGAAGTGTCTCCTTGAGTCACACCCCCCAGACTTGTATACAACGGCAAATTTGTCTTACCATTGTGATACCACGGGAATGTCAGTGTGACAGCTTTTATATTTTCGGCATTGTATTGAATGATATCTAGAATGATGTTTGAAATGCAGTTTTTCATCACCTTAGCACAGATGCCCTCATATTTAAATGATTCCTTATCAAATTCTACCAACATGTTCTTGATTTTAGAGTCCAACATGAGGATTTCTTCAAGCATTTTAACAGTCAGAATATTAGTCTCGCTTGTAGCTATGAGAGTGGCATAGTTTCCATCTGTGGTCTGCCTCAAACTTGAAAACATGGAATCATCTTCTGGAAACATTTCACTGAAGTGCTTCCTCTCTGTCTTGGCCGGTCCATTAAAAGGTGTAAACTCCTCTTCAATATTGTTGGAGAGTCTGTCCTGAGTAAAATAAAACCCGCTTCCCAGAGCTGCAGAGACAATAAGGGGGGCAATGAGGAACCACCAGGGATTGGATCCAACAGATTTACCCATCTTCTTAAAGAAGCTCTGAAGGGGCTTTTCTATGCAATCCATGCGACATCTGGCCATAGCTGCAAAACCTGGCTCCTTTGACAGGATGATAGAAGCTCAAAAATATGTTTTGTGGATATAAATCGGTTGCTCCTTTGTTTTCAGAAATGTTCAAACTATCGTCACAAGCTGCTGTCAGAAGCATTTACTGTGTCGCAGATTCCTGTTTGGCTCCATGTTCTTTGTTGCAGTTTCTTTTCAGCAGATGTAGTTTGAGGAAAGGCTCACTCAGTGAGCTTGTTCAGGAAGAGTCGCTTTCATACGAACCGTATGAAAGCGACTCTTGGTGTGGTTCTATCTCACTCTTTGCTAGAGTTTCTTGTTGCTTAATCCTGTTGTATCACAAAAAAAAATCATCTTTGGAATCTGTAAAAAAAGCAAAACACTTAAAAAAAAAAGAAAATAAACGGAGAAGAGCAAATTTCAACCAAAAAGATTTCCCAGAGTGTTGATTAAAAAGAAGATGCACTAACAGCAGACCAAAAAAACAGATGAGCTCTCCTGAGCGCTCAACACCACACACCTCCTGAGCACTCATTTATATAGAGTGGGGAACTGCTGCCTCCTCCTTTTGGTTATACTATAACCATCTTGGCATCATTTTTTATTTCAATTTCATGACACTATTACAATCCATTTGTAACTTTCTGAATCCAATATTTCTAAATACATGCTTACAGCATTTCTTTTTAAGTGCTCAAAACCACACATAAGCTAAATATGTTGGTAACAATATGTAGATCACAATGACCTCACTGAGTACTTGACGGTTTCCAGTATGTTAGTACAAAGTTCAGTGTGGTTATCAGTGCCAATGACAGGTTATGGACAATGAGGATATAAACGGATGGGAAAAAAAACGCTCTTTCTCTTGTAATCTTATCAGTCAGATGACACACCTCATATAATTAACCCAGCAATGCAAATGTATCATACTCGATGCATGAGTTTTTCAGACTACTTTTAGTTTACCAGCACAGCTTAAAACAGTGTGATTTCTCTCCCCTCAAAATGCCTAAATAATTTGCACAAAAGCAAATATGATACAAATCCAAATTCATATATGTAAATTTATATTTAACACCTTTTTCATTTTCATTTTTCATTGGCCAGGTTCAAGAAACACCCTAGTTTTTTTTTTGTTTTTCTTCTTAAAGACGAATTTTCTGACTATTTCACAGTTCAAGCATCACAGCGTTATTATTCCCCCACAACCCTGGGGCGATACCATGTCATGGTTCGGGTAACGTAAAGGTTACACAAAGGAGGGCCTTTTAGGATTGATAAAATGAAGCCGATGCACAAAACAAAGACATGTTGTGCTCCATTATGTGACTCTTTATTTAGGCACTTGAAAGGTAACCCCACCTGAAGGCAGTCATTTCCTGTGGTTGTGGTTCCATGCACTAATTTCAGTTCAGCCTGAAGGGTAAGCTGGCCCATAGCAGAGCAAGAACATGTGTGTAAATACTAGAACTAACAAAATCAAACATTTAACTGTTAAGATCGGGAGAAATCCCAACAAACAGGAACAAAGATGCATTATTAAAAGCTTTTATTAATAGCTTGTAACAGAAATTAGTTTCCAATCTTTATGTTTAACTCATTTGTATTTGACACTAAATGCATTTGCCTTCATCAGCTTTTCAAATCCTGGTAGCAATTAGTTGGTTTTAGGGGATGCTCATTTATGTAAGTCATGAATAACTTGCATAGTGTAAACATATATTTGCATTTTCTTATTATTTCTGACCAAACACCAATTAAATGAAGTAACGTAGGTGAAATTCACTAAACTCACTCTAGAAAAACTAGATTATTGCTTCTTCTCTGCACCACCCCTGCAAAAAATCTTGAGAACCCCTCATTTCTTTATATTTTAATTCAAAGGAGTTTTAAAGTGCTCTTGAGCAATAGTTCACCGGGATTTCTGAAGGTCTTTCAAATTGTTTATTGTTTGTTAAACGATATAACACTGGTCTATGGATCATAAACCTTTAAACCTTTAAAGGTCATAAAAAAGCATAAAACTAACTTAAGTAAGCAATTTTAAATTGTTTGTCTAGGCACTTTGTTATAAGCTGCCTGTCACAAAAGCCATGGGAACATCCACAAAATGACAAAGATAGCACAATTATGACAGACATTAAATAGTATTTTGAAAACTCATGCAAAGACACCAGATAGGACTTGAGAGATGCATCCCACACTGCTAATGAAACGGTGTGGAATAAGTTTGACAGAGAGCAGAAGAAAAGGCAGCCAATATCCAAAGAAGAGCTTTGAATGTCCTCCAAGAAGCCTGGGGAACTATTCGACTACTTAAAGAAATGACAAGAGAGCTGCTTCAGAGAGTTCAGGCTGTGTTGAAGAATAAAGATCAAGGTTATTGGAAACGTACAGACTCTGATTTTGCTTTATATTCTGTATTTCCATGTATGCTTGCATATTTCAATAAACTGCTGCAACATTTTCATAGCATAATACAAGGAAATTAGAACCTTTATCAGGAGAGCTAATATATTTTATACAAGTTCTTTGCCACTTTAAATAATTGTTAGAAAATCTTCATACTTAAAAACTAAATAATTTAGTTTTGTATCAACATAATAATAATATTTTTTTGTGTTTCATTTTCAAATCTCGCGAACACCGGTGACGTCGCGCGTCGCACTTTGGCCGGAAGTTGCGTGAGCAGTAGGCTATCATCGGAACTGATAGCCGCCTGCTATCCTAAAACACAGTAAAAAAATATCTGTAAAATCGTTTTTAGTTAATTCAGAGTCAAAGGTAAACTAACTCCAAGACAAATATGGACGACGATGTGTTGACGACTCTGAAGCTGTTGATAATTGGTGAAAGTGGCGTCGGAAAGTCCAGGTTTGTCTGTGTTTTAGCGAGCTTAGCAGCTAGCCTGTTGTGAATGTTGACATTGTTGTGTAAGTTTCATTCTCGCTGCCCAGTGTTCCAGCTTAACTGGTTTTCATGGTGTCTGTTGATGCCAACGTTTCAGCCTGTATTCACAAACTTCAGATGTTCCTGGTAACAGATTAGACACATTTCTGAACATTTTAGAAGTAGATTTGAAGTTTTAAAAAAGACATATGGTCGGGGGTTGCAGTGAGATTTGGCAGGTTAGGGGAAAACTACAAATATCTTACATAATAATGTCTACTCTGAGCTTCAGAAGGCTTTCTTTGTGTACAGCCTGGGATCAGCTGACCTGTCCTATTGCAGGTTTGGATTTTTTTGTTTAGTTTTTTCCCTTTGTGAATTTAACCAACTGTATTCTACAATATAAAGGCCCACGTTACAGGAGCCTTGTCTGCTTCCAGCCTCTAGCCAGTATAAATGCGGAATTTGCAAGTGTTGATCAGCTCAAATCCCAAGTGATATCTCCTTTGAGAACCAAACCCTATTATACAGCAGCTGCATTGAAATGCAAATGAGCACTCCATTTTTTGAGTGTTATTTCAATTAATTTCAATTAAAAAAAACCAAACAATTCATGTACATAATATTAAGTTAAATCAGATTTTTTTTTTTTAAATCACCTGACTATGCACACAAGTAAGGTTTTACAAGATTTTCACCAGGAGGCCATACTTTCAACACTCTCATGAACTCACAGTTCAATTACATGTTTCTCTCTGATGATATCTGTGCTTTTACTCGGGCGCTAACCTAGCACAGTCTGCCCTGCACCAGTCCAGCACCCATTACTGTAAACAGCACCACAGCACGGCACATAGCCCCAGTTTAGCCAGCACCTACTGGTCAGTATAAACTCTAAATTGCCCAGAATTATAATCTTATGATTATGAATTTGCTTCTAAAAACATGTCAGAGTATTTAATGTATTCAGATGTATCCAAATAGTTCAACAGCACATCATGTATAGATCCATGATTTGATTTAAAAAAAAAAAAAACGCAAACAAAACAATTAAACTTCTTGGAAAATGCATCCACTGTGTCATTAGCTTGCAGCTAGCAGTAGGGGTGGGCAACAATGAAATCTCTGACGACATAGATTCCAAAGAAATTCTGAACGTTTTATTGATGGTTGTAAAGTAAATGGAAGGCCATCTTTTTCCAACAAACCGCTGTCACTGATAAGCAGTAGCAAATGTAAGCACAAACCTAGGGCTGGGCAGTGTTTGCCTTTGTAGCTCTTCAGGAGCTGCACAATATGGTCACATATTAAAAGAAAAAAATGTTTTCTACCAGAGATGACTTGGGTGTCTTGGGTCAGGCTTTTTAACCAGTTGCTGAATAATCAATTCTCCAGAAAATAGCGTCACCATTCCCAAAGGACCCACCAACCTCTCTGCCCGAACAGTAGGAGTAAATAATAAATAAATATTAAATAATATAGATTTTTAAATGCGACTTTATTCCTTAATGTTTTTTCTCCTGTTAGCAGCAAACAATTTTACAACAGCTTTATTGTTTTATAAACAATAGCAAGACACTGACTCGGTACTCGCTGACCTCATATCAAATTTGTACTAATTTTGAATTCTGTTTTTGTATTTAAGCTTTACTCTCAAACCATAAACAGCACTTAGTCTGCAGCTGAAAGAATACAAACTAAAACTGTTGGGAGCAGGTTATGTTCAAAATCATCTGGAAGCGCCATGTTTTCACAGAGTTTTTTATTCACGGCAGTCTCTGCTGGGTGAATACATCTTATATGTGCAAGTTGTTCAGAATCAGAATACTTTAATAAACCCTAAGAAAATGATGTAAGCCATTGTTAAGCCATATCTTAGTAAAATCAAAATGCAAACTGTGCGTCGCATTGTTACGGAACTGTCCGCGTTTTAATTTGGTGATTTAGAAATGTTGTTCTACATAATTCTAATCTGCTGATTAGTCTGTTTCACACTGCTGGAAACACAGAACACACACTGAGAATACCTGTTCAGTCAATAAAATAAATTTCTCTTTGGTCTGCGACAAGCGGAAGCAATTTCCACGTCTCCTTTATTATGGTGTGGGACTTTAAACTTTAATATTTAAACAGATCCAGTTTAAAGTATCAGAGCTTTAATGTGCAGCCACAACCTTAGAAATAATCAACTGCATTGGGCACACTCTCAGTAATGAAGCGATAGATATATATATATATATAAAACTAAAACACATTTTTACCACGGTCTGATAGCGACAGACTGTGGTAAATATGCAGTGCTGGTCCTGTTGGACATGACTGCTGCATTTGACACAGTGGATCACGATTTGCTGATCTCCCGCTTACAGCACTGTGTGGGAATTTTTGGTTCAGCACTTGTGTGGTTTAAGTCCCATCTTTCAAATAGGACCTTTTGTGTTAAGTTGGGGTCCGCTTCATCCTCTGTGGCCCCTCTGCTTTGGGGTGTGCCACAGGGATCTATTCTTCTGCTTTGGGGTGTGCCACAGGGATCTATTCTTGGGCCATTATTGTTTTCACTGTACCTTTTGCCTCTTGGTGCGATTTTCCGAAAACATAAAGTGTCACTCCATCTATATGCAGATGACTGCCAGCTTTATTAACCTTTTAGTCATTCTGATAGTCTCCCAAGTCTCTGCTTGACTGCCTTAGCAATGTTAAAGCATGGATGGCAAAAAACTTTTTAAATTTTAATGATCGGAAGACAGAAGCGATTTTATTTGGCCCAAATCGTTCTTCTCATACTCCGGATGTTGATCTTGCAGCTTTGACTTCCCAACTAAAGAGTTCGATCACAAATCTCGGAGTTAAAATTGATTCTGCACTTACCTTTGATGACCATGTAAACGGGGTGGTAAAATCAGCATTTTATCACCTCAGACGTTTATCAAAGGTTAAGCCCTTTCTTTCCAAGCGTGACTTGGAAAGTGTTATTCATGCCTTTATTACCTCACGTTTAGATTATTGTAATTCTCTTTTAATAGGGGTTGGGCAGGGCACTTTGTCACGCTTGCAATTAGTGCAAAATGCTGCGGCACGATTTTTAACTGGCAGAAGAAAATTTGATCACATCACTCCGATTTTGGCCTCTCTACACTGGCTTCCAATTGAATTTAGGATCCGTTTTAAAGTCCTTTTATTGGTTTTTAAATCTCTAAATGGTCTGGCACCTGTTTATTTGTCTGACTTGTTGAAGCCCCACGTCCCCACTCGTTCCCTTCGGTCAGCTGAGCAGTTGTTGCTTTCGGTCCCAAAGTCACGGCTGAAACTTAGAGGAGACCGAGCGTTCTCTGTTGCAGCGCCGATGCTTTGGAATAACCTTCCTCTCCATATTAGACAGG